ACACTCTGGATGCTAAAGGTGAATGTAGCTACCCTGCCCTCCAGCTGCACTCTGCTCCTCAACTTCTAGCCCTATGTTGGGTCTGAAGGATATGAAGGTCCCAGAGAGCGCTGGGGGAGCTTGAAGGGAGACCTATCATCCCCCCACTCCCTCTTAGCACTTAAGCCCTCTACTCTCCTGACCCCTTTCCCGTCCAGACATGTGGGCCCCCTTTGGCCTGGGAATGGCCAAATGCCGGATATCCCACACCACTCCCGTCTCTCCCCTCTCATGCCACAGCCGCCCTGCCTGAGGCCATTCAGTGTAGCATCTGCTGGCACCGAGTGCCCCTGGGGCCAGGGGCTGCATGCCAAGAGCTGACTGTCCCTCCTAGTTCAACACCTAGGACCTTGAAGCACCTAGTCCTCTCTGTGCACCTGTCCTGCTACAGACACCTTGGCTATGGCTGCTGTGGGAGCAGAGGGATGGTCACAGAGTATAGTGAGGCCCTCCCTGGAGAGACCCCTCAGATCCTGACCTCATGGAGTTGCTGCAGGCCATTGAGGTGCGTGGGGAGGAGGTTCTGTGAAGCCCTTGCCTTTGCAAAGCGACTACCTTGACCTTCTCACGGGATCATCTCCCACAGCCACCACAGGCCCCGACACCACAGTGTGGTTCTGTCCGCCTCGGATGATGCCATTGGCACTGTGTGCTGGCTGCTCCTCCTGAAAATCCTGGCTGCTACCCCGGGCCCCCAGGAAGGGGTCCAGCTATACAGACTCCCCACCACTGCCTTTTCCACACCAGCCACAGGGCCAGGGGATGTCGTGGGGGCCCCCACCAGAAGCCCTGGATACTTTCCATCTCTGTGACACAGGGTTGGGGGAGCAGGAAGGGTGACAGCTGTAAGCCCTTCACTTGTGGTCAGTGGGAAGCCAGTTGGAGGGACATGGGGGCTCCTGGGAGGAGCCGGAGGGCAGTCTCCAGCAGGAGACGCCCTGTATGGCTTTTCAGTTAATTCAAACAGTGGGAGCAAGGGGCACACCACACACGTACACAGGACACAGAAGCTACTGGGACACCAGACACCAGGCCGGACACAGGGCACCACCACCGAGGGTGGGCTGTGCAGGCGGACATGCGGGAGGCGGTGGAGAGCCTTCTGGGGCTCCAGTGGTCTTCCAGCATCTCCAACAGATGGGGCTGGACCAGCGGCGAAAACCAACTCCCACGGGCCAGTGGCCCCCGTGAAGGGTTCCCAATGGGGTCGAGGCAGGATGGGGCTGGGGACAAGGACTTGACACGACATAAAATTGAAGGAGCAGCCTCAACAAGTTCTGTAAAATGGGTTTGAGGTTGGTGGAGTAGGGGCCTCTCAGCACGGCCATGCGGCTATTTACAGAAAGGTATAGACATGCGTCTTGGTTCGACAAGATTCTGCTCGTATGTTTACAGGTAACTATCTTCTTTTATATATAACTAAACACACATGGGAAGGGGGTCAAATGAGGCTCAAATGGCTTCAGAAGGTTCTTTTTGTTGTTGTTGTTGCTTAAAAAATAAAATATATTCATGTGTCTTCAAGTCACAGTGTCCCCTTCTCAGTGTTACAGTCCGAAAACCAACTCGAATGAAACCCTTGGGGGCCTGTCTCTGGCCCCGTAGATCCAAGGGGAAGAGAGGGAAAGTGGTCAGAGGGGAGGGTTGCTACATAAAATACAGGCTGCCCTATCAAATTTTCCTTTCAGGTCAACAACTACTCTTTTTTTCTTTAAAATAGTATTGTCTCCATTATTGCCTGGGACATACTTACTAAAAAAAATTCTTCATTGCTCACTTGGAATTCAAATTTAACTGAGCAGCCTCTATTTTTATTTGTGAAATCTGTGAGTCACCATGTCAGATCTTGGGACGCCTCCCTGCTTGCTAGCACCCAGGGCTCTGAGAACAGGCTCTGGCCAGCCCGCAGTATGGGGTGGGGGACAGGGCAGGACAGAAAATGCCAGGGCATCTCTGGCCTCGGTCTCTTCCTGCCTTTGGAGAAGGGACACCAGGCTCACTCACTCTAAGTGAGATCCAAGACACAGATGCTTCGAGAATTAGCCTACAACATGGAATGTCTCACTTTCTATCCCCAGTGGAAGTTTCTCAGCCTTTCTGTGATGGTCCCACCCTGTCCCCACTGCAGGGAGTCAGGAGCTTATATCACCTGCAGAGGCCTGTCTGCTGCAACCACTGGTGTGTGTGTGTGTATGTGTCTTGGGTGTCCCCGCCCCACACCCCCCCCACCCCCCGCCTTCTGATGGGCCAAGCCAGCAAGCTCATCCCTCAGGGATCCTGCAGAAACACTTGCTGGAAGAGACATGGTTAGGGGCTGAGACTGAGGCCTGACCCAGATGCCCCAATCCTCCATCTGAGAGATCCAGGCCAGTCACTGTCAAATCCATAGTCTGGGCTACCCATGGGTTCTTGTCCAGCTTCCCTGGGCCTCGGCTTCCACCTGTAGCTCTGCCAGAGTTCATTTCCCTCCTAGGATGGTTCTTCAGGGGAAAAGGAGAAAACTGTGTTTCAGGCCTCACGGTTCCTGAGTGGAACTGGGTTTAGGTTTTCATGGTCTCAGGCCTTTTGTGAGGAAACGCCTGTCTGTGTTCCTTTCCTCTTTTTTTGGAATTAACTTAGAGCTTAGAGAGTGAAACTGCCAGCTACAGAAGCACCCAGACCCCTCACTAACTAGATAGCCCAGTTCTGTCCTGTTTGGTCAGTGCCTGCACCCTGCTCCCAAACATGCCAGAATAAACCTGCATAGCAGGGAGGGCTTGGAACGATGCTCTGTGGTTTTGGTTACAGCACCCCCCAAAAGGTCAAAACCTATACGTTTGTTTCCCACCTCCTCCCCTCACCTGTGGGCTTGGAAAGATGTCTGCTAGCCGAGCCCACTGGGGCCAAGTGCCTGTCCTGAGTCAGGGGTCAAGTGTCTGTCCTGAGTCAGCTGGGACTAGGGAGATAGTGGCTCCCATGCTAAGTCTTCCCCTGGTCCAACACCCAAGGCTTCTCAGTGACATGACCCATCGCTCAAGACTACCTGTAGGGGTGGGATAACGAACCCTACGCCTGTCTCAGGTACATGGACACCCAAATCACCGAAGAGTCCAGTGAGGGTTCTGGGCAGAGAAGAATCCCAAGTGGTAGAAGGAGGACTGAGAGAGGGGGAAAGAATGGAGGTTAGAGGAGATGAAGTTGACAGGCTGATATCAGTGAGGAGAATGAAATGTGGAGAGCTAGAGACCCTGAGAAAGCACCAAAATCCCACAGTGACTGCTGGTGTCCACACTATGATAGCCACAGACACCCTGGTTCTGAAGGCACCCTATTATCCTATAACTTGCACATACTCACAAGTCTGGTCCCAAGAACCAGTCTTTGTCAGCATCCAGCCACCTCATCATTGAACCTTATACCTATACCCCACCTGTTCCAGTAAAAAAAACTAACTTTCCCACACACCAAGCGCCACCACAAGAAAGGGAGGATTCTCTGAGAGGCAGGCAGAGTTGTCTGTTTCTGTTGCAAGTGTTTCCTAATTCTCTACTCCAAACAAAGCAAAGCAAAACAACACCCTGTCCCTTAAAAAAAAACAAACACCCTCAACCCTTTTTCTTGCTTCTAGTAAAATAAAAAACTCTGCACCTTCTTCAGACTGGGTACTCAAAGCCTCTCCTACACCATCCATCTGTCTCAGGGGCTTCTAGGAAGCTGAGGGGCAGGGCAGGAAGTACTGTCATGTTTTTGGGAACGAGAGAGAGAGAGATCTTCAAGCTTCTGAGGAAGCCATGGGTTTTTGGTGGTGAAGAAATGGTACAGATCTGAGGGCTCTGAAGATGAAAGGACTGAAGGAAGGAATTCGAGCATGGGAGGACGGGGCCAAAGGAAGTAATACTGGCCGCTGGCCACGTGGAGACCTGCTTCTCCTGCCCAGAGTAAAGGTTGGAAAGGGACTCAGTGCAAACCTGACTAACATATATATGGCTTTTTAGTAATGTTAGGGACAAAGTGTGGAAAGAGAATGGGACACAACTGAGCTTGGAGCAGAAACCCTGCAGGTCTCCTCTACCACCCATTTAGAATAGATATCCTTCCTTTCTTAGAATTCAACTTCCCTAAGAAAAGGCCAGATGGGGCCACCTCCTGAGTCTTTCTGGGTGACCCCAGCTACCCACAGGCCAGCTAGCATGGAGGTCAGAGCAGCATCCAGGGAACTGGGAGTTGGGGAAAATCCCAGTACTTCCATTTATTTCATCCAGAAACATTCTGTCACCCAGCTCCCTTACCTGGAACAAAACACTTACGTGTTCCTTTTCAATTTCTCTGACTCTGTATAGATACCGTATTTTCTGACAGTGTTGCTCCACTTAAATTAAAAGAGAAGCATCAGCAAAAGCATGATGGGAATCAATGCAAATGAATGGCACTGCTTATATTCTGGAGAAGGAGAAAGCATCTGTGTTTCCCACTGGAGGAGGGTTGAGATCCAGAAGTTTCATTTTGGTCTTTCTGGGTAATAGGACTTCAGTATCTTCATAGTTTAATATTAAATGTCAACAGGAGTAATGTCCTGGGACTAAGAGTCCCTGTTAAGAGTGGCCAGTCTAGCAAATCATTTATTTCCATGAATGTCCTAGGAACCATGCTTGGCAGGAAACCACCAATGACAGGAGGAAATCCATGGGCATCAGGGGTTTGGTCCTAGTTTTGGACGAATCCAGTCTCCACATCTTGCTGCCAACCATAAGGAGCTTCTGGCACCTGGCCAGGCCTCTGAGTCCTCTCGGTAAGCTGACCCAAGGGGCTGACACAAGGTCTCCCTCGGCCATGGCAGTGGGCTTCCTCCGGCGCAGGGTTCTTGAACAGCCTTGTTTTTCACACAACTTCACTGTCCATGGCTCATGCCAGGAATAAAGAGAGATGCTCAAAGTCACACACACACACACACACACACACACACACACGCGCGCGCGCGCGCGCGCACGCGTACACGCACACGCACGCACACACACACACATAGGAATTATTGGCCACCGCATTGCTTTCCCTGTCAGGATACAGCATGTGCTGCCATTTTGTCAGTCCAGAGCACTCAAAAAATAGGAAGAGCTGCAACTTTCTGCCAGCAGAGGCCCTCACTCAGGGTGAGGTGTGAGCGGAACTTAGAGAGAATGAAGGGAGAGGTGGCAGGCCATGCAGCAAGGGCAGCGCCTGGGGCCAGGAAAAGAGCCAAGCTTCTCTTTCACCTCTTAGGGGACTCTCCTCACACAGCCATCAGAGGGAAGTTGGTCTTTTAAAAAGAGAAAAGAGAAGGAAAACCAAGGACACAACCACAAACAAAAAAGAAAACCTCTAAGGTTGCATAACTGAGGTATTGATAGCTCTGGATCTCGTCAGTGTCTGTGAAGGGAGCGGGGTCCCAGCCGCTGCCTACTTGTTCTTGCCCAGAAGTGCGTCTACCTCCTCCTCGGGCTTGAGCGAGTGCCACTGCGCGATGGGCCTCCGGGGGTTGGCCAGCATGTCGGACCAGTGCCGCAGCTCCGTGCCTGTGGCGTTGCTGCCCACAAAGATCTTGCCAATGGCTTCGTTCTTGCCCAGCTTGTCGTAGTCCAACACGGTGACCACCACCTGCACTTTCTGTGGAGAAAGCAAAGGAGGGAGGGAGTCAAAGAGGGCGGATGCCATGACCAAACTTCTCCCTCTCCTGACCATGGACCAGAAGAGGCCTCTCAGGGCGCCTGACTTCCATCTCTAGCTCCAAATTAGACTGAACTTGCCTGGAGACGGAGGCCACCGAGCTTCCACCAACAGGCACTTCCCAAACATGTGTTATGCGCTGGGCATTGTGCTAAGTGCCCGGTAGGGGTGAGGTTTGTTGAAAAGTCAAGACTGCCATCACCTCTAATGAGGTCAGCAGACACATAATCCAAAACTGACAACACAAAGTGGTAATGCCAGAGCAGTAAGTACAAAGCACCACAGACATTCAGAGGGGGTGGCAGTCCTGCTGGGCTCAGGAAGGACTTGACAGAGGACACAAAGGCTGAGGATTTCTCCAGGCAGAGAAAAGAGGGAACAGGGAACAAAGATTAGCTCGGGTTGAGATAGAGAGACAAGAGAGTGGATTTAGTGCTTGGGGAAAAGACCAGTTTCAGAGTTGTTGAGATTCCAAAAGAGAAATAAGAGACAGGAAATGAGAACAGTAGGGTGGGTCCCACCAGCTAAGGAGTGTGCATTTCATCCTGCAGGCCAAGTAGGAGCTAATGAAGACAGAAGAGAAGGAGAGACAGAGATACTCTAAAAAGAAAACTCTAGCAGTGAGTGGACAATTCCCTGGGGGAGGAATGGGAATGTACACTGGAAAATTATCCAGTCATAGAAAGGAATGAAAGTCTAAGACAGGCTACAACATGGGAGAACCTTGAAAGCATTATACGTGTGTGAAATAAGCCAGACACAAAAGGAGAAATCATGTGCGACATCCCTTAAGTGAAGGATCTAGAAGAGGTAAATTTACAGAGACAGAAAGTTGAGCAGCAGTTACGGCCTAGAGTGGGGGTGAGGGAGCAGTCAGTGTGTGCTGGAGAAAAAGCTGCTGTCTGGGGCGATGAGAAAGTCTGGGACTAGATGGTAGTTGGATATGATGAGTGTAATTTAATATTATTCTTTGTATATTTGAAAACCACAAACAAAAAGGAGAAGGTAGAGAGAGGAGAGTTGGAGGGGTGGGTGGGAGCAGCCCATCTCCTACAGCAGAGGGGCTGAGATGGCCCAGTGAGGAAGCAGGGAGGCCAGGCCTGCACCCTCACGTCAGCTTCCAGACTCACTGGTGCCTGTACCACATCCTCTCCCACCCACCACGGACCTCAGAGCCCTAAAGGATGCCCTGTGGATTTTATAAATCAGTTCGTATTTTTCTCCTCAGAAAAAGGAAGGAGGGCTCTGGAAGAGAACGTCAAAAGGAGGCCCGCCCACAGTGTTGTCAGACCTGAAAAACGGCTCTTTCCCATCTCACCCTCCCAGACATGCTTGCCTCACCCCACCCCACCCCCGGCCCAGACCCCGAAAGGGCCAGAGCACCTGAATCTGCTCGAAAGGGATCTCGAAGCTGAAGGACTCGTTAAAGTACGGGTTCAGGGTCTTCTTCTTCACCGTCGTCTTCTTCTTCTTGAGCCTCTTGCCATTCTGCATCAGGTGGATCTTCACGTAGGGATCTGAGGAGGGGGAGCCCCATCTTCAGGGAAGGTTCTCATGAGCCCCACCACCACCCGGCCCTCTGACAGCCCCCAGTCCTAGGTCATTGAGTCCATCAGCCATCAGAGCCATGGGATGGCTTGCCCAGGGATGGCAAAGAGGGTTCACTCTTTTTTTTTTTTTTTTGAGGGTTCACTCTTAAGCACCAGCTCTGCTGGGCTGGGCTGCTGTGGCTGCCTGGAGCATGCTGTTGGGGGATTTCTCAAGTGTGGGTAAGGTTCCCTGAAAGCATGTCTCTGCTATCCTAATCCCCTCCAATCTCCCCAACTGTGCAGAGGATAAAGGGAACCCCAAAGCAGGAAGTGACCTGCCCTGGCCACACAGGAAGTCAGCAGGAGTGTTGAGCTCGCAGCCCTACTGGTCAGAGTCCAGGCCTAAAGCTGACTCTCTGCCTTCCTACCAGAGCCCTGTGCTGTAGGCCAGTCCACTACCATCTGTCCATCTGAAACTAGGAGCATTCTCTGAGTCCCCTCCCAAGACGGGGACAGGAGAGCCCAGAGCCTCTCCCAGCAAGTAGCCCTCACTTTCCACCCCTCAGCCCTGATTATGGAAGCAGAACTGGAATTGTGTGCTTTGGGTTAAACACAGTCCACTCTCTACAGTCCTCCTGCCCCAGCCCTGCCCGGGGGGCCCAAGGCATGTGGACACATGGAGGAGAGCCCATTCCTTCTAACGGAGGCTCCGGACTGTGGTTGGCTCGCTGGTGCCACCCAATGGTAGCCCAAAGCTCTGCGCGCACCTGAAAGGCCTCCAACGTCCATCTTCTTCAGGTTCTTGGCCTCCAGGATACAGACAGTGAGCTTCCCCGCCGTGGGCACATAGCGAAGGGAGGTGCAGATGTCTCCCAGCTTCTCTGGCTGTCCAGGGGGGAAAGAAGACTCAGGGTCATTTTAGGCACTCCACTCCCTCTAGCCTTGGGATGGCCAGGAAACGGTTTGTCCCACCCCTCTCAGTCACCAAGCACACACTTGGGATGGCAGAGATGGTCTTCAAGCATCTGAGTTCTGTGCCTCTCACAACAGCTCAGCAAAGGCCAGGAAGTGACTGGCCAGCACTGGGCTCAAGTTTCAGAGGTGAGGTGGACGGAACAGGCTGCCCCAGCAGAGATGAGTGAATGACCCTGAGAGGATCTGGAGGGCATGTGGGTACCCTCTGACCCACCCCCAGAACAGTGAGACTTAGGATGACCGGACAGGGGAGGAGAGGGTGTGGTTCCAAGGCTCCATTCTCGAAGCCTCTGGAAAACAGGTCTCTTGGTGGCTCTAGTGCTCTGAACTTAGCTACTGGTGGCCTATCGGTAAGGAGTAGTGCTGCAATCCCAAAGGCATGCAGTTCAAATCCAGCAGCTGCTCCCCAAGAGAAAGATGGGCAATCTCCTCCTGTGTGATTAACAGCCTCTGAAAACCCGCTGGAGGGTCAGCTATGGGTTGGTTCAAACTCAACCACAACTAACAGATGAGGGAGCTCTGGTGGCTCAGTCCGTAGGAAGGTCCACTGCTGACCTCTCCGTCAGTTCAAGGTCACCAGCAGCTCTGCAGGAGAAAGATTGGCAATTTCCTCCTGTGCCGTTTACAGCCTTGGAAACCAAATGGAGTCAGTCCTGACTGAAGGCAACGAGTTAGATTTTGGCGTGGCGTGGTCCTCTGAGAGCTGTGCTAGTAACTCAAAGGCCACATCCCTTCTGTAGTTTGACTCCATCAATAGAACTCCGGAGAAAGATGGGCAATCTTTCCCCGAGAGATTTACACCTCAGACATGAGTCGATTCCCACTCGACAGCAATGAGAATTTTGAAACTACAGGCCTGTGGTGCCGCAGACAAAAGGTCTGGTGATCTGCTTCTGTGAAGGCCACGGCCAAGACAACACCACACAGTTCAGTAAAAGCCACTACCTCAGCTACCTGTCACGCACAGCATCAACCAGAAATCGGAACCCACTCGAAGGCAACGAGATTACTTGGTGTTTTGGTTTCTGGGAGAGTGAGTGTGAGGAGTCTTCCTCCTCCACCACTCCCTTACTCTCTCTTACAACAGCACAAGGAGACAAATGTGCCTTCAGAACCACAACTCTCTTCTGTCTGTCATCTACTGGGGGAGGGAGTTGTGGTCTTCATATGCTAACGCCATTTCAACTCTTCACACAGACAGGAAGAGGACTGTTGTCTTGTTATGTGCCATCGAGTCACCTGCGATTCATAGCAACCCTATGTACAATAGCTCTGAAGTCTGCCCTATCCTGAGCCAATCTCATCGTCTCTGAGAGACCTAATCCCATTTCCCAAGTCAATAAATTCAATCCATCTCATCTGGGGTCTTCCTCTCCTGCGCTGTCCCTCCAACCTTCCAAGCATGATATCCCTCCCCAAGGGCTGGTCCATCCTGGCAACATATCCAAAGTATGTGAGAGAGAGCTTCAAAATGCTTGCCTCCAGGGAGCAACTTGGTTTCACCCTCTCAAGAATAGACCTGTTTGTTCTCTTTCTCATTTTAAAAAATTCTAATCAAGAGGCAGTTGTCAGAACAGAGCAAGGAGACACTACATGGTTCAAAATCAAGAAGGGGGTTTGTCAGGGATGTATCCTGTCTCCATACCTTTTCAATCTGTATGCAGAACAGATCATCCGAGATGCTGGGCTATACGAAGAGGAATGTGGCATCAGGATTGGTGGAAGAATCATCAACAACCTGTGTTATGCAGATGACACAACTCTGCTTGCTGAAACTGAGGAGGACCTGAAGCGCTTGCTGCAGAAGATCAAGGACTACAGCCTCCTATATGGACTGAAGCTCAACATCAAGAAAACAAAGATTCTAACCACTGGGCCAATTGGCAGCATCAGTATGGATGGTGAAGAGATTGAGATAATTAACAGTTTTAATTTACTTGGCCCCACAGTCAACACTCTTGGTAACAGCAGCCAGGAAATCAAGAGACGAATTGCATTGGGAAAGTCGGCTGTGAGGGACCTCTCAAGAGTACTGAAGAGCAATGATGTCAGGCTGGAGACTAAGGTGCACTTGATCCGGGCTATAGTCTTCGCAATTACGTGCTATGCATCAGAGAGTTGGACAGTGACTAGGGTTGACAGAAAGAGAATTGATGCCTTTGAGCTGCGGTGCTGGAGAAGAGTGTTGAATATACCATGGTCTGCTAAGAGAACAAACAGGTTTGTCCTGGAGAGGGTGAAGCCAGAATGTTCCCTGGAGTCAAGGATTCTGAAGCTTCATCTGACATATTTTGGGCATGTTGCAAGGAGGGACTGGTCCTTGGAGAAGGACATCATGTTTGGCAGAGTGGAGGGGCGGCGAAGGAGAGGAAGACCTTTGATGAGATGGATTGATTCTGTGACTAGAGAGGTGGGAATAAGTGCGTTTGAGATGGGTAGGTTGGCACAGGATAGAGGAGCATATAGAGCTCTTGTACATAGGGTCGCTATGAGTCGCAAGCGACTCGATGGCACATAACAACAACCTTCTTGATAGATAATCTTAATATCAATTTTAATATTATTTCTATTTCCAACAACATCAACTGTGATAATAATAAAAACAATGAAAGCACCTTAAAGTCACTGTCAACAAGTAGAATCCAGCTCATGATAGACCTTTCTCCTTCATGTTAACTGAGGCTGCAAATCTCCCAGGGAGCAGACAGCCCATCTTTCTCCCTCAGAACAGCTGGGAGAGTCAAACAGCTTATCTCTATACTGGTAGTACAGCATACAATGGGTTAGACCACCTTACACGTGTGAAAACACCTTACCTTTTATGAAGTGTTTTCCACACAGGTAAACCTTGGAGATAGTGCAGGTTTGGTCTCAGTTCACCACAAAACAACAGAATAACACAACAGAGCGAGTCAGATGAATTTTTTGTTTCCCAGTACAAGCCAAAGTTGTGTTTATGCTATACTTCAGACTATTAGAAGTTCAATGTTGTGTTTCTGTGTGCCATCAAGTCAGAACCAGCCCAGAGTTCACCCTCCAGTGGATTTTCAGATGCAAAAATAGCTCAGGAAGAGACTGCCCGTCCTTCTCCTACAGAGCAGCTGGTGGATTTGAACCACAAACCTTTGGGATTACAATGCTGTTTCTTGCCACAAGGCCACCAGAACTCCCTTTGTGTGCAGCAGCATTGTGGAAAAGTTTGAAAAAGTTTGAAATATTGTGTGACTTGCCAAAATGTGGCACACAAACACAAAATTGAGCATGTGCTATTGAAAAAACAGTCAAACCTACAGACTTCTTGGGCCCAAAGTTATCACAGACCTTCATATTTGAGTAATGGTCGGTGTGTAAAGTGAAATAAAGCAGAGTATGCCTGTACACGATTTCAGGATCGTTTGAGTGAGAAGCGGAGGTTCAGAGAGGACGTACTGTGGTCAGTCACACACAGGCCGTGCGTGAAGGCTGGGAAGCCTGGACTCTTGGTTCTCAGGTCCCCTCCCACCACCGCCCGGGGCAAATCACAGTCACGAGACCACACAGCTCGCATTGCAGGTGGTCGGGGGCAGGCGTGCTGGCCCTGCTTCCAGCACAGTGTGGGCCCTGAGTGAAGGGGTGTGTCCCAGGTAAGCACCTCTCTGAGTCCCACCACTGCTGCCCGGGCCATCCAGCACAGTGGATGGGAACAGTGCTCACAATATAGCCATCGGCACACAGTGTCGTTGTTGTGTACCGTTGAGTCAGAACCAAATTGCAGCTGACCCTCCAGCAGTTTTCAGAGGCTATAGATTACACAGGAGGAGACTGCCCATCTTACGCCCAGGGAGCAGCCAGTGGATTCGAACCGTGTGCCTTTGGGTTGGAAGTGCAACTTCTTACCGTTAGGCCACCAGAGCCCCCTACTGACACATTGTTGTTGGTGTTGTTATTATGTGCCACTGAGTCAAAACTGACTCCCAGCTGACTCTTCAGGGGTCTTTGAGAAGCAGTAGATCACACGGCAAGAGACTGTCCATCCTCCTTTCATGGAACAACTGGTGGACTTGAACCACATGCTTTTGGGGTTCTTACCACAAGGGGCACCAGAGCTCTGGTGGTTAAGTGCATGGCTGCTAACTAAAACATCAGCCGTTCAAACCCACCAGCTGCTTCTGGTGACAAAAAACAAAACAAAACAAAAAACCCAGCAGTCAGCTCCCATCAAGGTGAAAACTCAAACCCGGGTGCATGGTATGGAGGTGGTTCCAACACGTGATGACCCTACGGCAGGTGTCTAAGGATGTAGACTGTGACAGGAGAAGACGGTGCGTCGTTCTCCCGCTGGTGGATTCAAAGGTGCTCAGCTATGGGGTGAGCAGCACAGCTCACTGTGCACTACGCCAGCAGTCCTCTCATGGAGACCACAGCATAGGAAAGCCCTTTGGGGTGATTCCATTCTGTCTCACAGGGTCACTGGGAATCAGAAGGAACTTGGCACCCAACAACAGCAGATGATGGGTAAAGTTCAGTGAATGAGGAAATGCTCTCTCAGTTGCTGGGAGGACACATTCCCAGGCCAAGAACCCTTTAGAACAAAAATGAGCTTTCCTTGTCGGTAAACTAAAACACAGCCATGATTCACTGGCCCTGAGTGATAACAGAGCCTTCAGAAGGACAGTAATTTTGTGCTCTTATTTATTTGCTCTTATTTGCAAACAAATGTATCTTAGGGGAAAAACACAGCCCACGTGCTCCTTGGAGGCAAGAATGGAGACGCTTCGGTTCACATTCTTTGGGTGTGTTGCCAGGAGAGGCTACTCCTTGGAAAGGACATCATGCTTGGGAAGGTGGAGGGTCAGGGACAGAGAAGGCCCTCAAGGAAATGAGTGACACAGTGGCTGCAGCAATGGGCTCGGGTGGGTCAGAGATGATGAGGACGGCACAGGATGGGCAGGGTTCAGGTCTGCTGTTCACAGGGTTGCTATCAGTCCTATTTGATGGCACCAAACAACAACAACAAAGTATTTACTTGAGCACCATTAAGTTACTATCAGGCACTGTACTGGGCACCTGACTTTGTTAGTTAATTGTCATCTGCAAAAAGAGAGGACAGGGAAGGACTCAGGTCCACAGAGATTAAGCATCCTGTCCCGGGTCGCACAGCTGGGAGGTGTGGGGTGCCTCGCCCAGCTCACCTGGCTATAAAGCCCACCTCTTGCCTGGTGCCCAGGCAAGCAGCCTCTGTGCCCGTCTGCCAGGGCTGGCCCAGCCTCTGCTCTCACCTCCTCCTTCTCTCCACCTTGCAGGTCTCTCCACTCCTCGATGGGCTGGCCCAGGTCCACCGTGTTCATGGGCACCTTCACCTCGCCGATGATGTCGTGTTTGGAGAAGCGGTCAAAGTCGTAGATGGCCATCACCAGGGTTTTGCCTCCCAGCTCTTGGTACGGCACCTGCAGGGTATAGCCAGGGGCAGAAGAGGGATCAGAACGACCCCTGAACCTCCAGGGGACGCTGTGGGCAGTCTTTGGGCCTGGCCCTCCATTCCAGCTGGTCTGAGGCTCCCAGGGGGTCTGCAGAGAGAAGATGCAGGCTCAGGCGGAACAGACTGTGGAGTAGGAGGGGTCCTGATGCTGCAAAGAGGCCGGGGCAGGGACCTCGCAAGCAGGCGGAAACCCAGCCATTGTTCCAGGCCTGTTCCTGAGGCCTCAGCCACAGCTAAGGTCTGAGCAGAACCCGGGGCGGAAGCGAGACCAGGGGCAGGGCTGGCAGCATCAATCACCTTGAAGGTGAAGGTTTCGTTGAAGGCAGGGTTCAGTGTCTTCCGATGGACTTTGGTCTCATATTTCTTCTTCTTGTCTGGAAGGAGGAAGACTTTGACGTACGGGTCGGAAGTGCCTCCCATGTCCAGGGCAGGCAGCTCAGCAGCCTGAAGAACGCCCACTGTGAGCTGTAGAAAGAGGGGACAGTCTCAGGACGGCTGTGACACCAGATGGGGTCCCAGACCCAGTACCCGCTGAGCTTTCCCTAAGGGGCCAGTGATGCAAGAGGGTGCAGGGCAGGCCTTCACTGCCACCTCAGAAATTCACAATGGTGCAAAGAAAGTTATAGTTTAGAGAGCCATGAATGTGCCCAAGGTTTGGGACAGGTTAGTAGCAGGGTCAACGCAGGCTGGCACCTTCCCCCAGAGCAGGTGTGGCCCAGCCAGGGTCAGTGCCCAACGGCGCATGTGCTGTGGAGTCAGTCTGTAAAGGAGCAATGGCTGTGTGCTTGGCTTGGTGTTTCCATTCCCCCAGGCTTCCATCCTTCCCCCCCGCCTCACCCCAGCCCAGCCCTACACACCTGGTTGGCCTGGAAATCGTAGTCCAGAGAAAACTGCAACTTGCCCAGGTTCTCTGGCTCCTTCTCCTCCTCCCCTTCCCCTTCTCCCTCCGTCAGGCCTCCTTCGGCATCATCATCATCCTGTGGAAGCTGGGAGAAGGGTGACCCACGTTAACCAGAGAACAGAGTGACTGACTCGGCCCAGGAGCCCCGGAGAGCCTTCTCTCAGGGCTGGGCCCCAACTCAGACCTAGGTGTAAGGTGGACTCTGCTTCCACTATGGCCCATCAGAAGCCCCGTCTATTCCTCTAGTGCCTCCCCTGAGCCCCTGGGAAAGCCAGCCCTTGGGCTTGGAAGACATGATTCTGGTATTTGGTATGCTCCCAGCCTCCCCATGGGGACAGCACCCAGAGCCAGGAACTATGCCTGATGCACGTCTTAAACTGTGGAGACTGCTGCCTTTTCAGCCCCCTACGCAGTATTATCCCAGCTCAGACCCCACCCACCCGGGAGAGACATACCGGGTGTTCAGTCCAGGCGAGCAGAGAGGGGGAGAGAAGGGAAAAGTGGTATGAGGAAAAAGCCCGCTAACTTAGACCAGTTGAGCACTCAGATCCCATTTTGGCCCCTGACCAGTTCCTTCCTGAGACCTGTCTCCCTACCTTCCATCCTCCACATTCTTTCCACAAAACAAGAGATTTCTGCTATTAATGCCCAAAACCAACACGGGGCTCACAAGGACCTTTGAAAACTGAAAAGGAGAAACTGGTATATCAAAGGACCGTTCAGGGCTGCCCAACCAGAGTTAAAGCGCCCCGTGATGAGCGCTAGATGCAGGCTGGCCCTCTCAGTGGTCTCAGGACTACCCTTCTGCCTCCATCTACCCCCCCCACCCCACCTCAGCCAGAATCTCTCCAATTGGCCTTGACCTTCAGTCCCTGTGGCAGAAAATTACAGAGCTGCGCACAAGTGTCTTCTCTGTCACCAACCTTCCCCCCCCAAACCCACAGCCACTTTAGGGGACAACATAGCCCATTCCTCTATCTTTTGAAGATCTAGCATGCAGATAAGTCCTCCTCCTTCCCCTCAGCCAACCCAGATGATACCACACTAGAGACGTAGCAATGGGGCCGAGGCATCACCTCGTGAGAAGCTGACAGAAGGTGGGCTAGTTTAAGGATGGGAGCCATCCTGGCCGAAGTCACCCAGAATCCTTTGCTCCCTGCTCGCCGTCAGCACGGGCTCCCCTGCCGCCCCGCGGGTGCCCTACCTGACCCCCTTTCATGTCCTTCATGTTCATGGCGTTCTTCATGCCTTTGCCCTTCTCCTTCTTGTTCTTCTTCTTCTTGCAGCAGCACTTCTTGCAGATGCAGAAGCAGCAGGTGAGGATCAGGAGGCCAGCGACCACAGCGATGGCGATCAGGGCCCAGGGTGGCACTGCCCACACAGGGAAGACCCCGGCGGTCAGAAGCGGCCCTGCCTGCACCCCCTGAGCCCACAGAACAGGCCAAAACGGGTCTGAACGATGACTCTCAAGACCCACACTCCTTGATGTTTTAACCACACACTGAGGGCTTTCTCTAGAAGACCGTCTTTGAGGATACCATCTGCTGGAATGGTGACATCCAGGTATATATGTGAAAAAGCACCATTTAGGTTTTATTGGTTGTAACTAGTTTGTTCTAGGGATAACTGGTCATGCCAGATGGGGCGAAATAGTCCCTATCAGACCCAGATGTAGGAAGAGTCACTTGGCCCTGCCTCGTGCACCCAGTCGGAGAGGGCTGACCCAGACCAGAAAGGCCAGGACCCTTGCTTAGCCTGGACCTAGAAGACTTAGCCTTGCAAGACTTCAAATGTTTGGTGATGGGTGCTGTGGTTGTCTCCACGCTTTGAAGCACCAGCTCCACCACAGCTTGGCCACTCCCCCTGAAGCCAAATCTCTAGTGTCCCCCATAGCCTTTACCAGAGATTCAGAAAATAATGGGGATTTCTATTTCTTTCTTGTCTTCCAAAACAAATTCATTGTTTCGACACAAGTAAGCATTACTGGAAAAGCCTGAGTAGTAACTTCTGTTTAACCATTTTTCACCTTCCTTTGATTTTCCCTTCTTTTGACAGTTACAAGAACCTCTATAAACCCACTGTTCCCTTCATTAATACCAGGCCACAGCTTACCCTCCCTGCTTCCTAAACTGTATTCTGAAAGGATTCAACCAGAAATCCCAGCATTAAAGAAAGAACCCAGCCAATCACCTCCCTCCAGTGCCCCACCTCCCGCCCCAGCCTCCCACAAGCCTTGCTCTGCTCACAACACAATTCCCAGACTCCAGTCCCACCCGGCTCTCTGTGCCAGCAGGGCCCCACTCACAAGGGATCTTGTTGATCTCGTTGAAGAACTTCTCCTTCAGCTTGGCGAACATGTCCTCTTTACTCTCCCCAGCACCCTCGCTCTCGGTGGTGTTGTCTCCAGGCCCAACGGGAAGGGGCATTGTCGCCGTGGTGGTGGCCGGAGCCACGATGGGCTCCTGGTTCCTCTTGAAGATGTTCCTCATGGTGGCAGAGTGGAGATCTGCAGATCAGAGGACGAAGATGAACATCCCAGGGTCCCACGTGCAGAATCCCTGCCCACAGGGCCGAGAGAAACTGAATAGCAATTCCTTGCAATCACTTCATGGTTCTAGACCCTTTTATGTACCATAGCAGTGATGGTAAAACAATGCTAGTAACAATGCTCACTAGATTGGTACATAAGAATGTCAGACATTTTCCATGTGTTAAACCATCCAATTCAAACAACCAAACATAATATTAGTATTATCTCAGTCACTGGGAAGCACATGATGGACAGAGAAGAGACTGTGATTGTTAATAGATTCAGCTTCCTTGGCTCCACAAGCAACACTCTTGACACCAGAAGACAGGAAATCAAAAGACAAATTGCCTTGGGAAAATTGGCAGTCAGAGAGCTCTCCAGAGGACTGAAGAGCGACGATGTCAGTCTAGACACTAAGGTGTGCCTGATCCAGGCCACAGTCTTCACAATTACTTGCGATGCATCAGAGACCTGGACAATGACTAAGGATGACAGAAGAAGGATTGATGCCTTTGAGTTGTGGTCCTGGAGAAGAATACTAAACACACCACAGATTGCTAAGAGAACAAACAAGTCTGTCCTGGAGAGGGAGAAACCAGGCTGCTCCTCGGAGGCAAGGATTTTGAAGCGCTGTCTCACACACTTCGGGCATGCTGCCAGAAGAGACCAGTCCTTGGATAAGGACATCATACTTGGAAATATGTAGGGACAGCACAAGAGAGGGAGACCCTGGATAAGATGGATTGACCCAGTGGGGGAATGGGGGTACATTTGTCAGAGACAATGAAATTGTCTCATGATAGAGCTGGGTTCAGAGCTGTTGTATATAGGGTCACTATGAATTGCAAGTGACTCAATGGCACATCACAACAACATCAACAAAGATGAGAAAACTGAGGTTCAGAGAGTTTCGTGTTTCCTCACGGTCACTTAACTAATACATCCTGACACTATTTTCATCAGTCTGCCTAACTCCAAAACCTATATCCCTAATCTTTTTCATGCATCTCATGTAACCCCAATCTCTAAAAAAACTGTAGGAAGAAGATAGGATTTCTCCATTGAGGACTCCTCAGCCCTTTTTCCTTGGCTTTGATGACATCACTCCACCTGGATTTTCCACCTGTCTCCAGAACTCTCATGCTTTGATCATCCCTGACTCCAGGTCCTCCTCCCGCATGTGATGTCCCATGATTCTCTCCTCAGCCATTTCCCTTTCTGCACTGGCTTCCTCAGCAAACACTCAGGGATTGTTTTGACTTCTCTTCTAGGAAGATGGAGCCCATACCTCTATTTCTAGCCCCTTTCTTTTCTGAGTTCCATCTAGATTTTCAATCCTCAAGGTAACGTTTCCAGGCCTGTTCCTCCTGCACAGCCACATATTGCACTACCAAGCCAAGTGGTTCTGACTTGACAGTGCACAAAAACAATACAGTGAATAAGGGGAGCTGTGGTGGCCCAATGGATAAGGAATTGTGCTGTGAACACAAAGGCAGGTAGTTCAAATACCCTAGCCTCTCCACAAGAGAAAGATGAGCAATCTCCTTCAGTGTCATTTACAGCCTCTGAAACAACATTTGAAGGTCAGCTATGAGTTGGTTCTGAGTGGACAGCACATAACAATAACAATAGCAAAGAAGTGTTATTTGTAAATAATAATAACCCATGATTTTTACATAAAATTTGACATAAAAAAGAGAACCTATGATTAAGCCATCCAGAAATAACAAAGGTTAGGCCTGTATGTTTTACATGTTAGATTGTGTGTGTGTGTGTGTGTGTGTGTGTAGTATGTCATTTTGCCCTTTTTTAATTATATATAAAATTTTACCATAAGCATTTTCCCTTATCATTAAATAGCTAAATCATATTCCACTAAATGGTAGTAACATAATTTGCTTAACGATTCTGCTATTAGATAGTAAGGTAGGTTCCATCTTTTTGCTGGTAAAAATAATGTGATGCACATAACTCTCACAGCAACATTTTCACGAGCTTCCAAATCATACTCTCTCTAGTCCTGGCCTCTCCACCAAGCAAGATCTGCTTCTCAAAGTGGAGGCTCGTGTGTTCTCCATGTCACAAGCCTCATACCACAGATCTTAGGGGCATTTCCATGTAAAATTGGTGGTTATTGTTTTTAGATGCCATTGAGTCGAGTACGATTCATAGCGATCCTATGAATAACAGCTCTAAACCCTGTCTTATCTTGTAAGGTCCTCACAATCTCTGACACACTTGAGCCCACTGCTGCAGTCACTGTGTCAATCCACCTGCATGAGTATCTTCTTCCCTTTTGCCAGTCATGCTTTCACCTTGCCAAGCATGCTGCCCCTCTCCAAGGAATAATTTCTTCTAGCAACATGTCCAAAGTCTGTGAGATGAAGTTTCATCACGTTTGCCTCCAAGATGCATATCTCTTTGTTCTTTTGGCAGACCATGGGATGTTTAGTGCTCTTCAACAACACCACACTTCAACAGCATCAATTATTCTCCTGTCATTTTTGTTCATTGTCAAATTTTCAGATACATAGCAAATGATGAAAACCCCATGGCCTGAATAAGGCACACCTTAATTCTCGAACTGTCATCCTAATTCCTTAGTAGTTTGGAGAAGTCCCTGACTTTAGACTATCCCAGTGCAATACATCTCCTGAACCCCTGACTACTGGTACCAACTGTATTGATTGTGGATCCAAATACAACTAAATCATTGACAGTTTCAATCCTTTCTCTATCCATCACAATGTTGCTTATAGGTCCAGTGGTGAGAATTCTTGTTTTCTTGACATTGAGATGCACCATATTGAAGGCTGAATTCTTTGATCTTCTGTATCAAGTACTTCAAGTCCTCTTCAGCAAATAGGGTTGTGTCATCTGCATAATGCCGGTTTACTGATGTCTTCCCCCAATTCTGATGCCACATTCTTCTTCACAGAGTTCAGCTTCTTCTTTCATTGAGATTTTAATGAAAGTTTACAGAGAACTTGGATTTCCATTCATTCACCGTTGCACATTTTCCTCCCTGCCCCGTTGCCCCCAGTTTGCTTTCTCTTTGAAAAAAAATTCTCTCATTATTACACAGTCCGTACCTTACTTTACTTTGCAGCTCTTATTCTGGAGAGTCCAGCTTCTTGAATAATTCTCTCAGCATACAGAAAGGATACAACCCTGATGCACACATGTCTTAAAATTAAACCATGCAATGTTCCCTTGCTCTGTCCACACAATAGTCTCTTGGTCTAGTTATATAGGTTTTGCATGAGCACAATTAAATGTTCTGGATTTACCATTCTTCTCAATGTTAATTTGTTATGATCCACATAGTCAAATGGTTTTGTATAGTCAATAAAACACAAATAAACATTGTTCTGGAATTCTCTGCTTTCATCCAGGATCCATCTGACATAAGCAATGGTATCTCTGGTGCCGTGGCCTCTTTTAAACTCAGCATGAACTTCTGGCAGTTCTCTGCCTGTAGTCATGTTTGAATGATCTTCAGCAATATTTTGCTTGCATGTAAGAGTAATGATATTGTTTGATAATTTCCATATTCTGCTGGATCACCTTTCTTGGGAATGGGAATAAATATGTATCTCCGGTCAATTGGCAAGGCAGCTGTCCTCCAAATTTCCTGGCATATTCTGATGAGCACACCTAAGGCTGCATTTGTCATTTGAAACATGTCAGGTGGTAGGTATCCCATTGGCTCCTGGGGCCTTATTTTTTGCCAAGGTCTTCAGTGCAGCTTGCACTTCTTCCTTCATTACCACTGGCTTTTGCTCCTATGGTACATTCTGAAATTTTCCCATGTGAGCCAATTCTTTTTGGTACAATGATTCTGTGTATCCCCTTCATCTTATTTTGATGCTTCCTGAATCATTCAAGATTCTGTCTTGTATTGACTACAAGAAGGAAAGCAGAGAAGGAAAAAAGGGAAAGAAAGAGACTGTCTTTTTAAAACTGGAACAAGCTGTTTGGCTTCACAGCAGGGTCGAGTTGGTGCCCATCGGAGCCCACTCCCAGACCTGAGGGGGGAGTGTGCTCACTCCTGGCAATCACCTGGATCCACAGGAGTGAAGTGGGAGGAATACAACAATGGGGAAACAGCCCAATCCTGGACGTGTTCTGTCAGCGCTGCCCACCCAGCACGCTCAGATACGTGGATGAACAGGGAAGGGTCATTGGCTTGAGGAGCAGGGAGTCACGAGGACCCCTGGCTTGTAGAGTTGGCCCATGGGCACTGAGTGAAAAGATCAACAGGTCTGGAACGCAGGGAGAAGTGTGGAGCTTACAGTTGATACCCATTTGAACCGAGCCAGGGATGGCTGGAGATGAGTTGACCAGAACCCAGCCAGATGAAGAAAAGATGGTCCGTTCTGTGGGCTAGGCTCGATTGATGTAGCCTGATGGCTTGCTCTGGGTGAGATAATGCTTATGAATACAGATGCTCACAGTTTCCAAGTTGAACAGGGGACTCTTCAGCAAAAGGAACACACTTGTTCCCTCAGAGTACTGGTTTGAGAGGGATGGGCAAGTAGAAACTAGCTGCCTAAAACAGAAATATGAGGGCAGGAGGCATGAAGCAGCTGGCTTACGTGCTTTCATGAATATAGTTATTAGATGGAGAACTCACAATACACATGAATGAAACATAATGTAAATGAAAGAGTGTATAAAACACAATGTACATGCATGATGCACAATGCATATTATTGTTTTATGCATCATCATTTGCAATTCATAGTGACCCTATGTACAACAGCTCTGAATTCTGCTATATCCTGAGCAAATCTTATCATCTCTGACACACTTACCATCAATACCTCAGTCACCGAGTCAATCCGTCTCATCGAGGGTCTTCCTTTCTTGTGTTGTCCCTCCACCCATCAAGCATGATGTCCCTCTCCAAGGACTGGTGTTTCCTTGCAACATGCCCAAAGTATGTCAAGTGGCATTTCAA